ATTTTACATCAATCGTATAATAGCAAGTTATTTTTAATAGTTTTTACTGTTGAGTTATGTATTCTTCATTATTTTACATCAATCGTATAATAGCAAGTTATTTTTAATAGTTTTTACTGTTGAGTTATGTATTCTTCATTATTTTACATCAATCATATAATAGCAAGTTATTTTTAATAGTTTCCACTTTTGAGCTATGTATTCTTCATTATTTTACATCAATCGTATAATAGCAAGTTATTTTTAATAGTTTTTACTGTTGAGTTATGTATTCTTCATTATTTTACATCATTTTTTTTCAAGAATTAAAAACAAAGCACTATAAAACTGAGCAGTTTAGATTTAGTGTGCAACGTGGCTAACATATTTAATCTTACATATTAGTTTTTATCCATTATCAACATTAGTCGACAGTCAATTTTTGATTTCGAGTGACACTTGAACAGAAAAATAAATCAATATTATATTTATTCGACTATTGATTTTTACTGTTATTTTAATATTTTGAACAAGAGTTCAGTAACTGTTTTAATTCAAATATTTTTAAAGGATGGGGTTAAAAATAAGTTTGCTTATACACCTTGCCCATATTTTCGTTAATGAATGAACTACTGTGAATCTTAAATGTTTAGAGATTAGGAAAACTTTATTTGCCGGGCTTATACACTAAAATAGAGGGCGCCTAGAAAAGACTAGAGTTGCCAGGAACAGTCATGATCCTTCTAGAAACTCCAGCGCACATGCTTCCAGCGTCACGTGACTTCCGCTGTCGTAACAATATGTTAACTATCATAAACTCATGAAGTACCGACTTGTGAGTCTACCTGGTATTTTAAAAGGCAAGAAATTAGGAAAAATTTAAAATACTTAACTGAATATTTTACATTTCTATCACGATGATTTCTAAATATACATTAACTATCATAAACTCATGAAGTACCGACTTGCGAGTCTACCTGGTATTTTAAAAGGCAAGTAGCTATAACCAGTTGCAACAATATATTTAATTGTGACTTTGTATAATATTACTATGGTATATGGTGAAGTAAAACAGACTCAAAACTCCATAGATATTAAAAACTTCTTTATTTTTGGATTTAGATTTTATATATTTTTATGCTCATTTCAACTTTGTATCGGAGATTACAGAAATTAATAGTTTTATGTCTTATTCATCATGGAAACAACGCTACCGGGGCCGCTTACAAATATGTAATAATGACAGTGGTACTAGATTTTTGTTAGAGAAACTTTTCCAGAGGCTGCGTATACAAGAGGTTTTGGGAGGCTAAGCTTCCCCAGACAAACCGTCCTTCAAGCGGCGTTGTTCTCACCAACTCACAAATAGTATACAGTATATATGGAGAGAGAAAGACGGAGATTGATATGTGAGCCACTGAAGAGAGTTTATTCATTTAAGACTCATTCTTCCTCATTGTGCAACTCCTACCCCCCTACAAGTGACAGAATAGTCTAACTAAAATATATATATATAATTTTCTTACTCAGTAAAACACTATTTTCTCTCTATGTTTCACGTATTGTTAATAGAAACTCTACTGTTTATTTCACGCAATGTTAACAAAATTGCCAAGAAACTAAAACACGATTCTTTTTGGTCATTATTTAGAAGGGTAGGGTAATATAAATAACGATGGATTGCGATTTTAGATAGCATTTTAAAGGTGGAATAAATATTAGTTTGTTATTCTTGTGAACGGCCATTTTCAAAATAATGTGGTTCTTTACGGCTTCCACTGGAATAAACTCTGTCGTGAACTTTTTTTCTAGATAAAAATAAAACTTTTTTCGCCTTCATACCGTACACTAACACTGACAGATCAGTAGCCTAGGCCTATTCTACTTTCAAGATTCACCACGGCAATACATTTGTACCCCTTGTAGTGAAAATCGTTAACAATGAGGGTACCTAACTGATGGAACGTTGCATTCTAATCATTATATTCAAATAGTTATACTCATTATCGGGGATATATATTTATATCTTACCTAAGTAGATAGCTTGCCTTGATCAGAAGTTAATGTTAATATCATGCAAGCTTGATTACGCTGCCACTCTGAAACTCTTCCAAACACTGTCCTTAATGCTCTATTTGTGACTTAAACTACTGTAAGTATGATAAGCTGTTATCTAAAAGTTGTGTAATTATGATTGGTTGTAACCTGATAATTACTCACTCCCATCGTAAACGTCGACATGTTAAGTAAAATATTGCTATTGCAATGTTGAGTATTACTATGAATTTACTCTGCGAGAATTTCACTTCGTAATTATGGAAACTAAAGCTATGAGTTTTAAACTTATGAAATATTTAAGAGTAGCCCTTCGTCGCTTCCTGCAATAAAATTAACTCAATCTGGTAACCGAGCATCCACATGAAATATTTGTTTGTCCTTGAAAGTTTAACCCCTCCCACCTTGCACAGCAAGGGATGTACACCTGTTTCTGTTAGGTTAACCTGATTGGTGGTCTGAAAGTAACGTGCTGAGTTTAGAATTTGTCGAACTAATATGTCTGGTAGAATGTTGTCTTGCTCGCTTTTGTAGCATACGTAGTTCAATTATGTGGTTAATATGTTTTATTATTACAATTGTTTTTACAACACTTTCAGGTAAGTGTCCTGTGATGTCTTATTATAAAACTTCTTGTGGAGTTCAGCCATAATTTTTTAAGTTTGTAAATAGATTGATACATGTTTTTATTTTAGGTTTAATTAATTCTTAATTTTATGCATGGAACTAAAAACAAGTAACACTAACACTGTAACAGTATTTAACTTTTAAGAGCCTGGTCAATAATTATGAACATTGATACTGATAGAAAGAAAAAAGACTGCCCATTGTAAATTTAATTGTATAACCACAAGGGTATTAACTTTATCATCAAATGATTTCTTGTATGGCTAAACTACACAACATTTTCACCTAATTTTAGTTAGGAAAATTTTCAAGTTAAACAATCAGAAAAACTTTGAAGGTAAAGAACTGGAGCGCACTGGCCTTTGTGCCACCCGCAAACCAGGGTTGCCCCGGGCTTCTACACACATTGTGGATTCTCCTAGTAACAGTGGAAAGTAAAGCAGGCGAGTTTAAAAAAAAGAAATATTAATATATATGGCTATCGTTGTTACTAATGTGTTTGATTTTATAAGGAGAAAGTTTCATGGGATGAGTATTTATTCCTGGATGGAAGTTATGTAAATTAATAATTAATGAAAGGTTATCTTGGGACACGAAAAGTTGCTTCCCTTATATGTAATTGTAAAAATGCCCGTAAAAACTGCAAAGTGCAAAACTGAAAATTGGTATGAATCTCACCATGGACCCAACAAAACTTCGTGCCAAATTTGATGAAGGTCCATCTAAAATGGGCGAAGTAGCGGTAAAAAATGTCCGTAAAGACTGCAAAGTGCAAAACTGAAATTTTGTATGTATCTCCCCATGGACCCAATGAACCTCCATGGCAAATCTGAAGATCCATCCATACCCAGGGAAGTAGTTACATGGACATACAACATGTAACAGACAGTTCTATTAATATTATATTTATATAGATATCACTTAGGGTGATGTCCTGTTAACGAGCCATAATTAACAAATTAAGCTTGTAGTTCGTCATTGTCAATCTAAGTCCTGAATTTCGTATTACTGAAGATTTTCAACATCAGCTGAAGAGACTGAAATTCTTCTGACAACAGGTATGTACGATAACATAATTAAGTGTCGTTGGTGAATGAATAGTCAAGCAACATGGAAATCAACGCGTTAAGTAGCCGAAAAGTTAATTTTTAGCGAATGATTTTGCATTTGATTCGGTAAACCAAACTACATAATTTTGGTAAAATTTAGAGGTTGTTTATTTATTGTTGTTAAATTCTTGAAAACTATACTAGAATGAACAGTTATTAAGCACGACCAATGCTTGGACTAAACAACAACAAAATTCAAAACTATAAATATCAATGGAGGATCGACAAGATGCTGAATTTTTAAATGAGGTAAGAAAGATGTGTAGCACAAAATAAGAACACTATTTATTCAAAGATTTAGAACCTAGTGGGCATACTTGGATTGGACACTGAGTCACTTCTTAATGTGCTCGTAAAATTATCAACAGATTTTCAACTTTCAAGTCATTAAGCTCATTTGAGATCCTGTGTAAACTATCCAAATCTAAGTTTATTACTAAATAGGAAACTTTGGATTTACCCATAGTGACCAGCGCTATTTGCTTGACTTTCATTCACGTTCAATCTTGAAGAGGCCGTAACTTGAAGATATCATCTCACTTTACCAGTTAGGAATTCTTCTATCGTCTACATTTTTTGCACAATGTGCAACATTACAGCAGCACAACCCGCAAGATGAACAGATATTAAGCTCTAAAGAAAAACAAAGGTAGCTGGAATGAAGTTAACCTAACAGTTTAGTTTTCTGGATCATATTGTTACGACATCGGAGTCACGTGACGCTAGTAACACGTCATTGACTTCTAGAAATATCCTGTTCCTTCATGAATGCTATAGCGTTTACTAGATATGTGTTTGTCTTGTATATACAAGACGG